CCCACCCACCCAAATACTGCTAAGGTCAGAGGTAGCAACCAGCAGCAGGGCTGGGTGCAGGCCCCCAAGTCTGCCCTGCCCCGGAAGTCCCCCGGCACCAGGTACAACAGGGGCGTAGTAAACACCAAGTGAAGAAGGCATGGCGGCCACGGCAAGAGGCACAGAGCCGAAAGGAAGGCAGGTGGGAGGGTAAACAATGCTGCAAGGAGGAGGACACCCCTGCCCAATCGGTGGGGGGCGGGCAGAAGAACCCCGAGGCCCCCGGGGCAAAACCACCCCGGCGCCAGCCCCCCGCCCCCAAAGAGGCACGAGCGAGGTCAGCAGCCCTGCCTCCCCTTTTCCTTCCTGGTGGGGAGGGCGCCGGAGGGGGGGTGCTCAGGAGATGTGGCTGGCGTGGTGGGGGCGCCAGAAGCACCACTTGCTGCGGGGGTGCTGCTTGCGCATCGCCTCTTCCTCCAGCTCCCGCTCCTTCCGGGAGCGCAGGTAGCGGTCCTCCTCCTTCAGGTACCAGATTGGAGGCCAGCGGTGGCGTTCAAAGTGAGCCTGGTTCTCTACGGGGGGGAGGGGGGAGAGTGATTCCATAGCAACAAGAGCCACCCACTGCCTGCCTCCAAGCCTCGGGCTCCCCACGATCAGCACTGGGTTCTGCCTGCCAGGGACCAGGAGGGAGTTTGGGCAGAGTCAGCAGGCCCTCCCCTCCCCTCCGACCCCAGAAGCCTGTGCTATCTAGCCTCCCTCCCGGCCACAAGCAAAAGGCAATCAAGCCAAGGCACCAAATCAAAGATGCCCCCCTCTGGTGGTCATTGGCTCCCCCCCCTGCCGAGGCACCAACTGTCTACAGGCCGCGCTGTGCTTCAGTAGTTGGCACTGAGAAGAAGAGATTGGATTTATACCTCACCCTTCACTCAGACTCTCAGAGCAGCGTACAATCTCCTTCCCCTCCCCTTCCCACAACAAGCACCCTGTGAGGCAGGTGGGGCCGAGAGAGCTGTGACCGATCCAAGGTCACCCAGCTGGCTGCACGTGGAGGAGGGGTGGGGACTCAAACCCCTCGGTTCTCCAGATCAGAGTCCGCCGCTCTCGACCACTACCCCACACTGGCCCAGGGCCCCAGCGGTGCCTGTGCAGCAGCTGGTCAGGTGAGCAACGAGGGGACCAGGACATCCCAGGACGGCTTCATCTGCACTGGCTCTCCCTCCCCCCGGGATCCTTGCTGCTCCCCCCCCCCCCGGCTCCAACTCTCACCGGCCAGCAGAGCCCCCCAAGACCCAGGCAGCCAGCCAGCCCATCCATACCTGGTGACATACACTTCATCTCGCGAGGGAAGCGGCGGCAGACACTGTTGTAGTTGGTGCAGATATAGTGGAGGCACCAGGCAGCCAACTGGCGGGCATTATGGAACTGCAAAGGGAAGGGGAAAACTGGCCCACCTTTCTCCCCAGAAGGGCACACGCGCTCCTCTCCGCGGACACAGGATGCAAAGGGGGGGGATGGGGACGGGACACAGAGTTCAATGGCTAGAAACTGGGGCCGGCCTCCGGGAGAGGTTGGAGCCACCCTTTCACACGCACCAGATCCGGGGCTCCATCCTCAATATTCCCATTGGGAGGATCTCCAGGAGCAGCTTGGCTTTTTTGCATGTTCTAGTTCTCGGCAGGGAAAGGCCTACCTACACACAGACACACCACTCTCCCGAGATGTGGAAAACCTCCCAGCCCCTGGGGGGAAGGTGGGCTGCCCTAGCACGGCCGCTGCTCCCCAGTTCTATGGGGCCCGAGGGACGGCTCCGTACCTGGGTCATCTCCAGGTAGAGGATCACCTGAGCGTCAATCTCCACCTGCTGGAGGCTGGCCTGAACCAGCTCGTCCACGGCGTACTGCTCTGGGGGAGAAGGACCGAGAAAGGGCTGTGAGTTGGGGGGCGCGATGGAGCCCCCCCTCAAGAACCTCGGCCCTCCCAGCTCAGTCTTCTGAAGAGCCTGCTCTGAAACGTGGAAGGATAAACGGGGTATCGGGAACACGCCCTGCACGTGCTCGGGGGCGCTGGGGGGCTACGTCCGGAAATCCACACTCCCCCCCCCCGCCCCGTTAGGACAGCAAGCTTTGTGGTGAGCCTCACAAGACCCGCCCTCTTCTCCTCCCCCACCACCAGCCCTCCGCCGCCCAAAGCGGTCCCAGATCAATGGCCCCCTTGTTTTTCCATTTGCAAGCCAGCCTGCCTCCAGGGAGACATCGATGGTCCCAGGGACGCTGCGTCCCCACGGCCTCGTTCTCCATCTCCTCGGCAGAGGGGGGCTTATGCAACAGGCCTTCCCAGGCAGCCGCCGGGTGGATGGATGGATGGATGGGTGGGTGGGCAGCAGGTGCCCTCCCCAGCCCAAGACTCACCGGTGAGGGCCTGCAAGCGGCTCAGGCAGAGGCGGTCAGTCAGCACCAGCAGCTCCATGGCGTCCAGGTCTGCGCTGGGGACAAAGAGCCCCGTGTAGAGGAACTCCAGGACGGCGCGCAGGCAGGCCCGGTTGGTGCCCGGCAGGGAGACCTGGGGGATGGGGGGGGCGTGCCGAAGGGGCTGCTCAGAATCCGCCAGCCAGACGCCCCACGGCCAGCCATTGCTTTCTGCTCCAGCTGCATATCCCACCCACCCCCCGCAAAGGAGAAGCCAGTGTTGGGTCAGGCCAATGGCCCATCTAGTCCGACACTCTGAGTCACACAGTGGCCAAGAATACCGGGGGCCATCAGGAAGTCCAGCAGTGGGGCCAGGACACTAGAAGCCCCCCCACACTGTTGCCCCCCCCCCCAAGCACCAAGAAGACAGAGCATCCCTGGCCCCAGACTGAGAGTTCCTGTCTATACCACTGACGGACCTCTGCTCCATATAAAAACATAAGAGATAAGCCAACTTGGATCAGGCCAAAGGCCCATCCAGTCCAACACTCTGTGTCACACAGTGGCCAGAAATACCAGGTGCCCTCAGGAGGTCCACCAGTGGTGCCAAGACACTAGAAGCCCTCCCACTGTTGACCCCTCCCCAAGCACCAAGAAGACAGAGCATCCCTAGCCCCAGACTGAGAGTTCCTGTCTATACCTCCATATAAGAACATAAGCCCGTGTTGGGTCAGGCCAGTGGCCCATCCAGTTTGACACTCTGGGTCACACAGTGGTCAAGAATACCAGGTTTCCTCTGGCTCCAAAGAGGAAGCGCCTTCCCAGGAAGTCCACTCTCTGCACTACCGCTTTCCACACCCCAGAACTGCAGGCGGGTTCCACTCCAGGATCTGGGGACGTCCAGTGGTGGCTTTGTTTGGGCTGCTGCCACCTCCCCATATGACCCCTGTGGCCCTTTATTTTTGGGACGCCTGATTTATCTCTCCTCTCGGGTTCTGGGAGGCGGCCGCTGCCCCTCCCCTTGAGAAGGCGGTCCCTACTGGCTGCAGGGGGCATTCCAGGGGACCAGGCCCAGCACCCAAGGAAGAGAGAGACTCCCTCCCCACCAGTGGCCTGGGCGGCTCAGAGAGGGGAGGCGAGGAGGCTCATCTGATCCGCAGCCTGACCTCTCCTGTGATGGATGCGTTTGACCTGCCAGCCCTCCTGGCTTCCCTCCCGGACTCAGGCTGCTGCAGCTGCCAGCCCTCCCCTGCCCACCCAGGTCCCTTGGAGGGTCTCCGCCCCCAGCAGCCACACTTCCACACAGGCCTGCTCCTCCGGACTCCGCAGCCCTCCCAACTAGCCTCCCCCCCTCCCACAGTGAGGCAGCAGCTGCTTGACTTCCCTGGACTTGGGCACCTTCTCTCTCTCTCTCTCTCTCTCAAACCCCCCCCAGACGGCCCTTGGCGCTCTCCCTCACAGCAACATGTCTGCTAGGTCAGGTAAAGAGACACACCTTGGCCACCTGCGTGTGTGCTTCCAGGCCACCCGCAGGGTGTTTTCCCTGCTCCCCTGGAAATGCGAGGGGGAGAGACAGTCCTGGGGAAACGCTGGCTTTGCCAGGCAGCACTAGCAGCAGAAACAGGCCCCACCCCACCCCCCAGCCCTGGCCAGGGAAGGGAGCGTGCTTCTGCAGGCCCAGCTGCCCTTCCGGACTTGGGTTTCCCGAAGGCAGGTGTGGGGTCTGGCTGCACACATCAGCTGAGGCCAGGCAGGGATACTGACCCCCTCCAGCACACTCTGCCTCCCCCCCACAGGCAGACGAGGCCTGGCTGTAAAAGAGGCAAAGGCACCAGTAAGGGCTGGCAGGTGGGCCGCAATGCAGCCGGCCAGGGCTCCTCTCCTCTCTGACCCACCAAGGCCACGCTCTGCAGCCTGCTAAGAGAGACGCCACACACGAACCTGGCCTTTACTGCCCTGCGTGGCTGAACCACGTGAAGGGCTCCCCCTTCCGCTCACCTCAGCCGCCCGGCTCTCTCGGAAAGTGCTGCCGAACATGGCCACCATGAAGTCGCACCCGGCAAGCAGCAGGGGCTTGTGGGCGAGCAGAGAGCCGTCGTCCACCACAAACATCACATCTGGAGGGAAGGGCACGGGAGACCCTCATTACGGCCGCGTCCTGCATCACCCGCAGGCAGCGACACCCGCAGGTTGTGCCAGGCCCCCCCCCCGGCAGAGCCCCACTCCCGCCCAGACTGCCGCGATGCTCTCTCTCCGTACCGGCAAAGGTCCCTTTGCTCAGGAACTCCTTGATGCGGTTGGCCCGCCGCACGTGGAACGCCTTGGTGATCTCGCGGTTCATGAAGCTCTCCTGGTTGAGGATGTTGGCCACCATCATGCGCAGGTCAAAGACCTCCAGGAGCTCGGCGATGGCGGCCACCTGCATCAGATCGGCCCGGCGGGGGTCCAGGTGCCCCGTGTACAGGTACTCCAGCACGGCTCGGAAGGGGCTCGGCTGCACCAGCCCGTCCATGTAGACCGCGGTCATGGGCCTCTCCTGCTGAGCCACTGGGTCGCGCACCTCCTCCAGGCGCGTGCTGACAAACCCCCGGCCCCAGACAGACAGCTCCCGGGGCGGTGGCGGCGGCGGAGCCAGGCACAAGGGGTCATCGCTCCGGGAGGCCCGCAGGGAGGCGGCCACGGAGACTCCCAGAGAGCTCCTGTCGGCGTCCAAGCTCTTAGTCCTGCTGGCGGGCTCCTTCGCACCCGCAGCCTCGCCCACATCCAGCATGAAGAGATCGTAGAACTTGGAGCAGGACGTTGCCAGGTACACGCGATGGGCAAAGACCCGGTGCCCGCCCTGCAGGCAGAACACCACGTCGGCACACAGGGGCTCCCGGAAGAGGCTGGCGGGGCCCCGGCCTTCGTCAGCAGCCGGCTCCGGGATGCGGATGATGGGTGGGGGCGGCTTGGGGGGCAGGAAGGGGGCCTGCAGCAGGGGGCGCTGCATCTTCTTGAGGTGAGACTTCCAGAACTGGAGGTGGCGGCGCGAGATGAGGGCCGCGCGGATGGCGTTGTCAAAAACATCTTTGATGCCAAACTGGGCCACCACGCTGGTCTCGTAGTACGGGATGCCCAGCTCCTTGGCCACGTCGTGCCCGCACTCCGGGGGCAGGATATCAGAGGGCTTGATGGGCCTGGAAAGAGAAAAGAGACAGATTCCCTCCTGTCCACGGAGCAAGAAGAAGAAGAGATTGGATTTATCCCCCGCCCTTCGCTACCCAAAGGAGTCTCAGAGTGGCTCACAAACTCCTTTCCCTTCCCCTCCCCACCACGGACACCCTGGGAGGTAGGTGGGGCTGAGAGAGCTCTTGACAGAAACGGCTGCCGAGAGAGCTCTTGATAGAAACTGCTCTTTTTTTCAAGAACTACGGCTTGTAGTTTTGGGGGGCCCCCCAATCCTCCGAAAAGGGGGGCCCTACTTGGCCAAAGGGCGGCGCGCGCGGTTCACGGCTTCCAGGTCTGCGTAGCGGAGGTCCAGCTGGCAGCCGACAAGCACGATGGGCGTGCGGGGGCAGAAGTGCTTGATTTCGGGGTACCACATGGTCTTCACGTGCCGCAAGGAGTTGGGGTTCGCCAGGGAGAAGCACAGCACCACCACATCGGACCTGTGGGGGAAGGCAGGGCAAGGAAAGGGGAGAGGTGGTGATGGTGGCGGCAGGGGGATACAGCAAGGGTCCCCGCAATGAAAGGCAACCCACCCACATCGCCACGGCTGGTCTTCACACACACCCCCTTTAGGCTCGCCCATGCCTCGCTCTCAGACCCCAAAAGGACCCGGGCTCCTGGCTGCAACTGGGGGGGGGGGGCCCACAGCCAGAACGGGCCGCCGTCAAAGATACTCCTGCTTCTCCCCCCCCCCCGCAGACTGGTCGGAGAAGGGGGGGGGGGGGTAAGGGCGGGGCCA